GCCTAAGTTATTGGAAAGTGAAATTACAGCACTCTTAGAGTCAAGATAAACATGATTTTGAGTAATTGCCTTCCAAAGTTATTTGTGCATACATTGTTTAATAGAATTAACTATCTAAATAACATTAAATAAACGATTTGTTGATCACTTCCAGAACTAATGCTTTGGGACATGATTAGTAAGACATTAAACTGTTGATCTATAGTTAAAAAAAAAAATAGGATTTTTAGGCAATTTTTTGAGCTACCATATTTTATAGCTCCTTTACTCAATACTGGTCTGTGCGACAACTTAACCATTTTGCCATGACATGCCTCATTTATGTTTTATCCTAATTTTGCTATTTTTATTGTAATCCCTTCTATCTATGAGAATACGAGGCTTGCCATCCAAAAACCAGCATACTGTTGCAAAATGCTAATTAAACTGCGTAATTATAAGAATGTGGTAGCATTATTGTATACGTTAGTACAGAGAAGCCATTTTATTCATAACTTCAGCAACAGTAAGTCAATTCCAGAAAATGACTCATCTATTTAAAGCTTATAATGTGGAGAATAAGAACAGACCTATACTAGAAATTGCAAATTGCTAGTGAAGTGCTGCGAAGTTCAACTGCATATAAATGTTCTTCGAACAAAATTATTTATGCGAGTCAAGTGAAAATAATGAATAATAAAAATATAACAAATAATATGAGACACGACCCATTGTCTATATTAGAACACTGATGAGCTGACGTAGAAACATAGTAAAAACGAGCGTTCCGTGTATGCCAGTCTACAACAAGCATCGCCTAAATGTAATAATGAGCACGCTGAATTAGGCTAGTAAATAAGTTTAACTGGGTTCGTACATAATATTGGCCTCAAAATATTGTGGCTGAGACATGGACCGATTAAACGTAGAAATAGGAAACCTAGAAATATAGTAAAAACGCTGAATAGTAATACTCAAGCGTCGCCACATGTGGACGTTGGTACGTGTAGGTTAGTCTACAAACGACGCCCAAAGTAATAGATTTTACCCGGCAGAACGAAAGAAGGAAACTCCGCTTTTCAGTCGTCTTGGCCCTTGTTTTTTGAAAAACAATGACCTTTCAGAGGTCAAATTGCTGTCAAGAATATGAATTGGCTGCTTCGCAGCAATTAAAAAGTCATTTTTTTTTTTTAGTCTCTGATGCTGGTATTGGGATATCAAGCCTCATAAATAGGCCTAGTAGCCCTTGACAGCTGATGACACTAATTACGTCTTAAACTGCAAATACATTGTGATACATGCTATACTACAATCAAAATTATTTTTAATAAATGAAAACAAAGAAATACTTATTACTGTACAAAATGAACCACAAATATCAAAAATTTTCATTTCAATTTCATCCAATAGTGAGTGAGTCACCACTGACAGGATGGGATCAACTCAGTATAATGCCCTACAAAAATATCAGTACACGTTATCACTACAAGGATTATGTAGTGGAGTAAATATTTAGTCATGGATATTTGAGCTCCAACTGCTCAGAGGTTGGAAGGATCTAAAATACCAAGTTAATTTCCATTCCTATCCTATATCTTATATTATTCCTCATTTCACAAAAAAATACTGAATTAGAAAAAAAAAAATGTTTAAACCAAACTGATTAAACATTAACAATCATCTTAAATATTTATAAAGAACTTGAAAATAACTAGATCTAGACAAAACACTTTATTTTACAAAAATAATTGGCTACTAAACGATGTACATACCATTCCTTTGTTCATATAGATATACACTCTGCCTTCATCTAATACTTTTGAGTAGAGTGGCGCCCCAACTAACAGGTCTGTCATGCCGTCCTTGTTCAAATCTATTCCCTTCACTGCTGCCCCAAAATAGGTGTTCATCTAAATATTTAAATAAATAATAAATATAGTAAAATTCATTTAGCATATGTGGCAAAGACAAGCCAAACCAGTCACGCGTCGCAAATCCTGTTTCAGAGATAATAACCAAAACATGCTGGAATGTCAAAATTTTAAAAATCTAATTTACTACACTAAACTAAACTTTACATATCTATATATCATGCTATGCTGTTATTTTCCCTATTTTTTAATGTTAAAACAACAATTTTAATGATTTGGTGATTGTTTCTGAGTGAGAAATGCCTAAAAGCATAAACTTTGAAGGCTGATTTATCAAATATTGTTCTTTAAACAGCTGTTAAAACTATGGTAACTTCATAACGAAATGTCGATTTTAATGATTCTTTCACCATTTCATAGGTCTCATTTTACTGTTTAACACTGTATTAATAACTAAAAATAGATTTTTGCAACAAGTAACTAGTTTGGCCTGTCTTTGCCACATACTGTATTGCATTTATGTGTAAAGACATCTTCATTCCAACTATCACTTTTTTTTTAATTTGAAACACAAAGAATATTTTTCTGGAAAACAAAATAGCATTCTGCAATAGGTAAGGTTAGTACATGTAATGTAAAAATGCAAACTCATTCTATATTAACTGACTTTTCTGTGTTGAACTTTAAAAAAAAAAGGCACATTCCTTTTGCAACACTGCCAAGTTTCTGCAACATGCATAACTACTGTAGTAAGGTTTGTTTTAATTACGTACAGTAGGTCAAACATTTTTTTTTCTTTAGTGCTGCCTCATTCTAAGATTCACCAATGACAAACAATTACTAAATGCACTTTTGGCACAAGTCTCTCATTTATTGATTTTTACTAGTATTAGCTAATTTTGGAGAGCGCCACCAGCATCAGTTTATGTCAAGAAACTTTGTTATGTTGTTGAATTTGGGTACTAATCCCAGAAAAAAAATATAGTATGGAACATGATGCAAATAAGTATGGAATGCCATTGGTGCCAAAATAGATATATTTTAAACAGTTTTCACTGATTAAAGTCAGGCTCCGGAGGAAAAAAATGTTTTGATATGTTGTAGAACTGATTTTTCTAAGACAGAAAAAAGTTGGAACCCAGTCTAGTTTGAATAGTGCCACTTTCAAATACCAAAAAGCGTACTTTTAGGCTCCTCATTGGGAAAAATTACATACTGTATTTACCTTCTCTCCGAAAAATTCTGCATGGACACTGAATGTCTGTAAATCATATATGAACACCTTGCCCTTTTGATAAGCCCTGGGGGCGCCAGTCACCCCATGAACAAGATCAGACCTCACAAAGTACCCAGAACTGACAGAATAACCTGTTAGAAATTTAAAAAATCAGTGATTAAATCATAAATAATGTTCATTTTCACTTAAACATTTAAAATGATACAAACATAAGCTATGAATGTGCTATCATTTAATTTTCCTTTATCAGCTTTATATAAATATATTCACTTATTAAAATTGATGGTGACAAGAACAATTGCTTCTCCCTTCCCCTGACCCACAGTTTTTAACTCATGAGAGAAAATTCTAGCTATGGCCTCTTTCATTTGATTGATAAATTACATCAGAAAAATAATATTGAGCTAATTCGATAACACAAGGTAACAAAATAGACTTCTTGTACAGTGGAAGTACACAGAATATTGATTGGCAACTAAACAACGCTAACATACCAATATAGCTCTCATCTTCTTCATTAGCAGGGTACCAAGATGATACATCTGCCACGTTAACTTCCGCTCCATAGTTAGACTCTGTCACAGATATAACACTTCCTAAGAAAAAAAAAAAACAGAAAGAAAAAACATTTTTGACTACCATAAAATTTTTTTTTGTTTTATTTTGCTCAGAAACGAAACGCTATACGAGAAGGGCACAAAAGCCAAAAGAAATAAAAAGAAACAAAGCAAGAGAAAAAAAATCACAAGGGGGAAGAAAAAACCCAAAAAGTTAACATAAAAATGAGTCAATGTGCCGACTTACGCAATGTTTGAAAGTTTATTTTTTAAGTAGTGAAATCAATAATTGACTATGGAAGATTATTCCACAGCCTACTGAACTTATCAATGAAAGAGTGTGATGCATGCTGGTGCAGATGCAGGATTTGGCGGTAGGGGGTGCATGAGTCCACACCACCTCAGGCCCACCATGCGGTGGGGAGGGGGGTGAGGGAGGCTTGGGGGTTCTCCTTTGGAAAGTTTTGTTTTCTAGATGCTTGGAAATACACTTTCATGCATTATGTGATGCCTATTAATGAATGAATACACTCTGAATTCATAGTTTTTCCCCATTTCACTATGGACAATTAATAAATATGATGATGATATAGGAAGAGGAGGCACCACCGTAGCTAGGTGATGACAGGCTCCTGTGTAAGATTAACAGGACCTTTGATATGAAGTGTCATCCAAGGCCCGTAGCCCAGAGCTGGCGCCAGGATATGCTCGAGGGGTGGGGGTAGGGTCCAATGTCCCTGACAAAAAAAAAGTGATCGTGGTCGGGCGTTGCTCAAAATCTCTCGAAAATTTTCCAGAAGTCGAAGCCCCCAAAAAATATGACACTTTAGGGGTCCCTTATTAATTAATTAGACAATGCATTGCATATATATTTTTGTCTTTGGTTTAATAGGTACTGTAGGTGGTGTTTCTGACAGAAAGAGTTGGAATTCACCAGACCACCAGGCACTGCAATCAATTTATATTTTTACAAATATTTTTTATCTCTCATCCTGACCATCGCCATGGCAAACAGTGCGAAGGTCTTGATCCGCGCCTGCCTCTAGGTGCCCGAAAATTGCCCGCTCATGTCTTAAAAATCTTACCGGTAGTTCATATCAACAATACAACAATTATTTTCTTAATACCATTTAGGGTGTGTGTGGGGGGAGAGGGGGGTGCGATCACACCGTCTGCATATCCCCTGCATCTGCTCTAGGAATGTGTCAGATGGATCGGACTTAAAATGAGAGATTGTGGCTTGCCTTGTGTGATCTCTTTACGTTACATTGGTACATCTTGCAAAAGACCTAATGGTCCATAACCGCAGGGTAACGGGCTGATGGACCAGTACACTGGGGCAACCCCCTACTCATCTTAAAAGATGTACTGCACATGAGCCAATTGTGTACACTAGGCCTACAGTTTATAGTCCTTATTCGAGAAGACGTGCTCCACCACCATAACCATAGGCGAGCGTGCAAAGAATAGTAATATTATGTTAATTGATCTAGAAAATATTTTTCTGATTAAAATTTTCAGTATAATAAATTTCATTTTTAATTAGCATACACCTGTGACAACTCATATTTAATTAACTAATAATATTCAGATAAAGGACAACTACATTGAAGTGACATAGCTATGAATAATATTAGTAACAATTCAATTAAGAAATCAGTCATATGCATGGCAATGACATGAAAATGGTGGTAGGAAACATAAATTTAAGGAAGGGATAATTAAGCTAGCACAACATCAGTGTGGTGACCTTAATTTAGCACTACAGTAGTGAAGTTCTATTAGAGATTTGGTCTTTGCCTTTCAATAGATAAAAACCTTTATTCATTTACGGTTAACAAAATATAAATTAACATAAAACCATAATTTTAAAAAAAAATTCCCATCCATATATTTAGAGTTATTTTTAGATAAAAATTTTCCTCCATTATTTTCATATCACAAAATGTTTGTTTCACATGTTGGGTGCAAAAATGTCAAACAATGACAAGTGCCACCTATATTTTATGATTGAAATTGTACACTTGTTTGAGTGTGAAATATGGCCCATGTACTGTACACATTAGAAAATGCTGTAAACCCTTTGGAAAAGAGTAGGGGATTGTCTCCTGGTGCACTGCTCAAATCATCACCAGTAGAACCCCATTGGAAACATGTATTCAGACTATTGTCAGCTAGTTGTGTGTTTCCAAATAAAACCAATGATACTATTTCCAAAATTAATGTGTAACTTCCGCTATTTTTTTAATCTATTTATCTTTCTGATTTATTTTTACAACTGATTATCTTAAGAATTTAATTGAATCCTCTGGCAATCATTGATATTGAATCATTTCATTTCCTTATTAAATTAATATTATTAGGTCGAGCATTATGTTGTTAATCAATTACACCAGAAAACATGAATTACATTAAAGCAATGCAACAGAGTAGTATAAATAAATGTACAGTATAACCCAGTCAAAAATCAGGTATTTATTTAAATCTCACTTTAGCAAGGAGAAAATTCACCTGATGATGTCAGACGAATTTCGCCAAAGCGTCAAGACAATCAACCAGTGGTTTTAATCTCAAAACCATACTCTTACCAGGGGCGTACCATGGGGGGGGGGTCGATGGGTGCGGTCGACCCCCCCCCCCCCCTTTAAAAAAATG